CGGTGTACGTCGCCCGATCAAGCACCTCTCCCGCCGCTGACACGAGCAGCATCCCGTCGCCGTCCTCCTGCAGCTTCACGCCGTGCTCCTTTTGCTGGCCGGCCGAAAGCAGGTTTGCTCGCACGCCCAAGACGTAGAGCACGTCGGGGATGAGCACCTGCTTCCCGGCCTCCCCTTGCAGGGCGACAGTGCCGCGTCTCTGAACGTCCTGCAGCGCCCCATTGAAGCCGCGCACGTGCTTCACGTTGCTGCTCGGCCCCAAGTTGACGAAGGCCTCCTTCGTCCCCATCAGGTGGTGCGAGCAGCCGCTGTCGAGCAGGACCACCTCCGGGTTCGCCTGCACCACTGCTGCCACCGCTTGGAAGTCCTCACCGGCCTCCGGCGCCAGCGAGACGGTCGGCTCCACGACGCCGACCAGCGAGCACGACGCCGCATTGTCGTCTCGCCCCTTGCCGCCAGCAGTGAAGTCGGCGTCCTTCGCCGAGGTCGACTTGGTCGACTGCTTCTCCTTGCGCGGCTTGTTTCCACCTCGACGAGGACGACGGCTGCCAGACCTGCCGCAGCCTCCCTTGGCATCATCGTCGTCGGAGCCACTGCGGTCGGGCCACTCGAAGGAGAAGTGGTCGGGGTCGCCGCACAGCCAGCATTCCCGGCGTCGACCTCCTCCTCCACGACCGCTATCCTTGGCCGACTTCTTCTTGTCAGCGTCCTTGCTTTGGCTTCCAGCCACTGCTACTACCGCCGTCAGACTGCCCACGCTGCCCCGGTCAGCCTCCTTGCTTCGGCGGGGCGATGAAGTTCGCCTGTGCCAGGAGCTCCTAGGACCGCTTAGCCTCCTGCATTGCCTCGTCCTGCAGGATGTACGAGGTAAGGTTGTCCTCGTTCAGCGTCGTCCTCGTGCTCGGCGCCATTGACAGTCCCTTCAGCAGGTTGTAGCTGCTCGAGAGTCCCTGCATGACGTGGGTGACGTACAACGCTGTTAAGTACTGCGCGCTGGCCATCCTGATGGTGGCGAGAATTCGCCGGGCTCGGTTGCAGTAGTCGGTCGCCATCTCCTCGTCGCCCATACGCAAGTGCGTCAGCTGCCCCTCCAGCTGGGCCATGAACAAGTCGTCGGTGACTTGGTAGGTCGACTCGATGAAGTGCCACGCCTGGTGGCCGGCATGGAGGTACTCTCGGCACCACTTTAGAGCGATCTGCACGCCCGGCGAGCAACACCGTGAAATGACCATGAAGGTCAACAGCTGCACGGCGCGAAACTCCATTCGTAAGTCAGCGTGGTGCTCCTGCGGCGTCGCCACGGTCCCTCGGGCAAAGCCGATCAGCCCGGCCATCTCCAGGTGGGGCTCGATGGCTTCCTTCCAGGTGAGTATGTCCTGTCGACCAACAAGCGGCGGGGTGACCAAGATCCTGTCCGACGTAAACTTGAAGTAGCCATAGCTCGGTGCAATCCCGCCCGCCGTCACCTGGGTCGCCGTCATCGGCGACAATCCGCTTTGACGCCCACCGGCATCGCCCTGCGAGGAGCCTGCAGCCGCCGACGACTGCATCCCTTGTGCCTGAACGCCGCCGGCTTCACCAGCGTGTATCACACCTCGTTGCCTCGACATGCCTCCCGCACTGCTGCTGACCTGACCTCCACCAGCGCTGACGCCCACGTCGACGCCGCCATTGTTGTTCACTGGTCGAGGAGAGGCAGGCCGAGTAGGGGGGTGCTCCGCCGCCCACACGGAGCGGAATCCAACCTCGACGACTGCCCAATGTATCACCCCATACTCCTGGGCCTCATGGCGTCTCCTCGCATCCTCCAGCTGTGCCTCTAGGGTGTGCCTCTAGGGTTTCCATCACCTCGGCGTCACCTACGCGCACGCTAGTGACTGCACGGCTGCCGGCCTACGAATACGATCGGTAAGTGCAAAGTCGGCTAGACTGAACTACGCCGCGGTGTCGTCCACGCTCACCGCACCAAGCGGAGATAACTGCTGCAACGAGAGCTAGACTACGGGCTAGGCACGGGTGCTCGTGTGATCTCTGTGTTCGTTAATCCTTAGTCGTTTGCTTGTGTGTTCTCTGCTTGCACATTCACGAGGATATTTTGCAAGAGTTTCACTAGAAAAGATTGACAACAATGGTTCCAACAACATTAGCATCACAGACTACATCAGAGCTAGCTAGGCTGCTGGTCGACCTCCAGCGCAGCATGGTCAACCGCGCTCCAGCGCTACAGTGCTCGCACCGCTCCAGCGTTGCAAAGTAGCAGTTCGCCAACGTTGCAAGTTCACGGTGTACCAACGTTGCAAGTTCACGGTGTGCCAACGCTGCAGCAAGTCGGCTGCACTGCGTTGCACCCGCAAGACAACGGTGCACCTGCTTCGCAGGTGCGCGCAGCTGGTTGGCGCTCCACATCTTGTCACGAGCACAGCGCAGACGCCTGATAGACTCCACGCCAGCGATTGCGCCCACCAGCCACGTCGACCTCGAGATACCACCCACAAGGTCGGCCTCGCAGACTCCACCCCTGCGACACTCGTGCACGTCGCCCGGGTATCCAGGTCGACCGGGCAACCACGCCCGATCAACTAGCACAGTCCGTAGCCGGCCACCAATGCCCGGCGTCCCCAGTCTGGCGTCCAGGCGCCCAGGACGCCGTCTGAACCCCCAGGTTAGGTATGATCAAATGACCTGACCCGACCCGACCCGACCCGACTTGGGCGGGCCAGCCGGGTTCCGGGTCGGGTCGGAACTTTTGAGATCTCTGGCCCGACCCGGGTATCGGGTGCCGGGTGAGGCTTGACCCGCCCCGGGGTCGGATCGGGTTGGGCCGACTCCCATAGGCAGGGTTAGAGGTTCTCCTTAATAATGTGCAGGGGCGCGGGTCTAGCGACCTGCGCCTGCACGGCGCGTCGAGATGCCCTAAAACGCGGGCCTGCAATGCGCGCACCTAGGGTGGGAGCGCGACCTGTAAATTTCGGATTTAAAAGAAACCCTAGGATGGTTGGCGCGAAGTGCGAATAACTTATAAAAAAACGATTGGCTGAGTACTAACTGAACATTATCGTGGGTTCTAGGGTAGATTAGTACGCCAATGTTGCTTGGTGGGTGGCTGCTGGCGTCACTAGCTAGTTAATGTAACTTAATCCAGATCGAAATGCTAGTTGCTGGGAAAACAAGCAAGCGCGATTGCGATCTGGATAACATTGTCGAGAGGAAACCCTCGGGTCGGGACAGATACCCAACCCGAGATAGGGCGCGGTACCCGAAACCGGGTCGAGTCCATAATCGGGTCAAAACCTGACCCGACCCGACCCGACTCGAAATCAGGTCACGGGTCGACCCGACCCGGCCGGGTCAGTGGTTCTGAACTCCTGGCCCGACCCGGGTTTTGACCCGGGTCGGGTCGGGTCGACCCGACCCGCCGGGTCCCTATGCTCATCCCTACCCCAGGTAGGCATGAGCAAGGATACTAACACCTGTTTGGTTCGCCTCGAACAGGATTTGTTTTTGGCTAAAAATGTTCGTGGCGAACGTGTTCGGTGTTCGCCCGAACACGTTCGTCGTTCGCCCCGCTACTGCTGCCGAGCCGCGTCGAACACGAACGCGTTCGTGTTCGTTTCGGAGCAAAAACGAACACGAATGTGTTCGTCGTGACTGTCCCGCGATCTACAATTTAGGTTGCGGGACATTCTGTTTGGCATCAAATTTGATCTCGAACTTAGTTGCGCTATTCAACAGCAGCCACTATTACCACGCCCCCCACACATCACGCCATTACCACCTCATTAGGACGTAATTAAATAGTTACCTTAGGTTAGTCTGACTAGACTTGGGTAGGTGAGATCTAGGTTGTCGGGAAAGGATTAGACGGATCTAGCAGAATCTCGTTAGTTGGGGGTTGGGTTGGGGGTAAGCATTCGCAAATTTCGTACTCCTGGGGTTGGGGAAAGCATTTGCGAATTGCATAAGTTGGGGATTGAGAGGAATAGAGTTCGCATATTTCGTGAGTTGGGTGTTGTGGGGGGTTGGCGAGCAATCGCAAATTTCGTATATCAAGAGGGGGGAGAGCATTTCGCCTTACGTGGGGGGGAAATCCAGGTGGCGAGCAGGGTATAAAAATATATAGATCCCTAACTAGATCTCGCAAAAGCCAGAGCCAGCCTATATATTTTCCCCCAGTTTCCCGCAGTTCCCCTGCTCGCCTAAAATCATGTGTTTTGTAATGCTAAGCCCTCTGGGGCGAACACGAACGTGTTCCTGCCGAACACGTTCGTGTTCGCCAATGTGTTCGAGATGTTCGCCTTCCAAGGCGAACTTCGAACACCACTTCTGGCCAAACTTGTTCGGCGAACCGAACGGTTTTCGGTTCGCCGAACGGCATTGTTCGAGCCGCGGCGAACGCGAACACGCTCGTGTTCGCCTTGTGCTCATCCCTAACCCCAGGTCGGCGTCCAGACGCCCAGGACGCCGTGCAGACCTCCAGAGCGGCGTCCAGCCTCCCAGGACGCCGATCAGACGCCCAGGTCGGCGTCCGGGCCCCCAGGACGCCCAGGTCGGCGTCTGGGCCCCCAAGACGCCGTGCAGACGCCCAGGGCGGCGTTCCAGGCTCCTAGGACGCTGTGCAGACGCCTAGGTCGGCGTCTGGCCTTCCAGGTTGCCGTGCAGGCGCCCACGACGCCGACCAGGCGCCCGGGTAGTCGTGCCGACGCCCAGGTCGGCGTCCAGCTTCCCAGGACGCCGTCCAAGCGTCCAGGACGCCAACCGGGCGTCCAGGACAGCGTCCTCCTGCTCGGCGCCCTCCAGCCAGGCGCCCTCCAGCTCGGCGCCCTTGCAGTGGCCCCCGTGCCCACTGCTGCAGGTCGGCTGCAACCCCTGCACATCCGACCACGAGGTCGGCTCCGCCAAAGCAAGGACGGGGCCAACCAACACTCCCGTTGACATCGTTCATACTCACAAACCCCTCTCTGGACTTTACTTCCGTTTTGCACCTCACTTCCAAGATGCAGGTGGCTAATTGGAAACAATCTGACGGGCTCCATACCAGCGACGTTATCCAACCTTGGCCTTTTGACCAACTTGTGAATGATGAGAGCTAGTTTTTGTTTTCTTTCATTTCTTAGGCTCACTTCTTAGCCTCGCATTCCCTTTGTGGAATCTCCCTCTCAACTGCCATATGGGTGCTAATTATTCTCCCTCTATTGGAGTTCGTCATGTGACGTGATTATGTTTTGTTCTGTGATGTGAGGGGATGTGATGGGATGGGGGTCCGATGTGATGCAATGTGATGAAACAGGATGCTATGTGATCTGACGTGACATGACGTGACGCGATGCAATGTGATGTGATGTGATGTGATGTGATGTGATGTGATGTGATGTGATGTGATGTGATGCGATGTGTTGTGATCTGATGCGATGTGATGTGATGCGATGTGTTGTGATGTGATGCGATGTGATGTGATGTGACATTATTCCGCACCCCTTTGCATTCTCCTTGTTCTCCTCAACAACACCCACCAGCAATTGCCCTTGTCCTTCCACAGCGATGTTTCCAGTACACTCATCTGTCTAGTTGACCTTCGAACCCTACTGGGATTCATCTTGAATCCCTCTACTTGTCATATCCTTCGGTGCAAGTGTTTCTGAGTGAGTGAGGAGGCAATGAAGCTTAACCGCCTAAAGCTACCGTGAGCGACCATGAGAGACTATGGGCGACCATAAAACACTGTGTCACTCTTCTCTCGTTGTGCATGTAGGCATACCTTATGCATATGCATACCTTATGCAGGCCTTTCGATGCTTGTGCATGCCTAGTGGCTAGTGCATGCATGTCTTGTGCATGCTTGCGTGTTCATCTCATCATTATGCATGGCCTGGGCACTCCCCGCCCGCATGGCACTCGTTTCTCTCGGTCCCACCAGGAACCTTGGCTACAACGACTTGACAGGCACCATTCCTGCCTTTCTTGGCAACCTCCAAAAGCTTTCCCACCTGTGAGCAGCGCTGCTGTTTTTGGGTCGACATGTGAGCCATATCACATCCACACCACATGGGACTGACGCGACCTGCAGAACAATATCACCACATGCCATGTGACGTGACATCCATACCACATGCCATGGGACCTACATCACATCCACTCCTCATGCTCATTCCCTCACCCTTTCAAGTAAGTCATTTCCAACTTGCCAGTCTTCTTGAGTGCGCCGCACGGTACGCGTCCCTCTGTGTTGAACAAGTGCCACCACTGACGCCCTCACATGCCTCTCCTTCACCCATTCACTGTGACCCCTTAAATTCGCTGTTATGGTGTCTACTCCGCTCATCACACTTTTCTCCCATGGAAAGCAGATACCTACATGGGAACAACCTCACTGGCTCGATACCAGCCTCACTAGGCAAACTTTCAAATCTTGGAGATCTGTGAGTCTCTTGACTTGTTGTGAACCTCTTGACTTGGTGGACTAAACAGGGCACCTTCCGTTTTTATTGCTCCTAAGGCTCACAGCAACCCTACTAGACATGAGCACAATGGCGAAGACCTGTTCATTTCGCCTTGAACACTCATATTTTTTTGGAACAAAATGTTTGGGGCGAACATGTTTGTGTTTGCCCGAACGTGATCGTTTTCGGTTTGCCGCAGCTAGCCGAGCCGTGCCGAACACAAACACGTTCGTGTTTGACATCCCTTGTGTTTGTCAGAAAAGTCCCTCGGCCCTTTGTCTAAGTCGACAGGACACACTAGTCGAGCTCATTTTTTAGCTCGACTTTTGCCTACCTCCCCTCCGACAGCCTAGACTACAAGCTCCAGCAGCTAGCATATGTAGACCCTAAAAAAAATGTTTGGCGGAACCAAACTCCACTCTTTGGCGTTTCATTTCCTTCACTCCCAAACGTCCACCATGTATAGCCACACCACCCTGGACGCCAAAATCCACCATCCTTCAACCCTGTTACTGTAATGAAGGCTTCCTACAGGCAAACATAAACATGTTCGCCCCAAACATGTTCGTGCTCGGATTTTGGTGAACACCAACCAAACACCTCCTTCAACGGTTTGTGTTCGGCCGAACACAAACATGTTCGGTTCGCCAAACACGAGTGTTCGAGGCAAGGTTAGATGCACATGTTCGTGTTCTCCTTTTGCTCATCCCTAAGCCGCACTATCCCTCTGGTTCACATGCCCTCAACAAACGCACGCACATGCACACCACACACATGCACACACATGGACGGGACACACATTTGCTCAGACCAACTGCAATTAGGTTGAGCCCGGCCCAGGTCGGGCCGCGCCGGGCTGCCCAAAAAAGCGAGTTTGGATAAGTTTTAAGGAAATGGTGAATCATGTACATATGGTTGAACTCTTGAGGCTAGCTGCAGCACCTCAAAGTTGAGGGCAAGGCTAGCCAACCTTGATCAGTTAGGAAGTGAGGCCCCATGTTGCACATAGGGATGAGCAAAGGGCGAACACGAACATGTTCGTCTTCGCCCCTTGTCGAACACCCTCTTTTGCCGAACCGAACAGTGTTCGGTTCGGCGAACAGTTTAGGAAAAAACAGGTGTTCGCTGTTCGCCTGTGGAGGCGTGTTCGGGCGAACCTCGAACACGTTCGTGTTCGTCGCGGGCAAATTTCAGCAGCGGCCCGAACACGAACGTGTTCGGGCGAACATCGAACACTGTTCGGCGAACGATTTGAGCTAAAAAACAAAACCTGTTCGGTTCGCCTCGAACGTGTTCGAGGCGAACCGAACAGGTGTTCGCCACCTTGCTCATCCCTAGTTGCACATGTGGGCTAGGCTGGAACAGCAGCCTCCATGACAGCATATGGCATACCATAGGGGCCACCAAGGTGAGCATGGGATGAGTGGACAGGGGGCAATGCCAACTGTGACCACACTGACCACACTCTGTTGTCGATAAGTGTGGTGGAGTATGGACATGTCATGGTGAGCATAATGTGAAGGGGGAAAGTGCAGATGATGGGAGTTGAACTCTCAATATCTTGGACTAGAGGTGAGGAACTACTCATTGGGACATACTCGGAGCACATCACACTCCACGTACATACACGTGCTGTGCAGTGGAGTATGGTGTCTCTCCACTCGACACTTGTGTGCCCTCCATTTCTTTCATTTGCAGACTCCTTTTCTTCAACATTTTGTCCGGCTCAATTCCTGAGTCGCTCTTCAATCTCACGAAACTCAGCACGCTGTAAGTGCAGTGCAGCGCAGTCCTTCTTTGCTTCCCAGCCAGGTGAGCCGTAGCCGAACCAGGCACTTGCATTTCAGCAATTTCTGGATGCCCCAGAAGGCATTGTTGAAAGTATGGGGTTCATCTCAGCATGCACCTCTGCTCGCCTTGAGATGACCATGTTTTGTTTTAAATGCAGTTTTGACTTCCTCTTCATCCTGTATTTTCATACTGATGCTTGCAACTGAAACCTGTCTTTTACTCTCCTTGTTGCACCTTTTGTTTCCACAAACTGCAGCAGTCTCCTTGGAAACAGATTAACTGGCTCAATCTCTTCAAAAATAGGCAGCCTTGCAGCGCTGACAACCCTGTGAGCTTCTCAATGAGACGGGCTAGATGGCTCTTGCATACATGGCTCCTGCATAGATGATCCCTGCATAAATAACTCCTGCATTAATGAATCCTGCATAAATGACTCCTGCATTAATGACTCCTGCATAAATGCATAGACCCCCCCACACACCCACCCACCTGCAACATTGAAACAAATCAGCTACGATTGTGTCTGTTATTCCTGCAATTGTGCCCAAGCAGAAGACGTGATGCATGCATGCTGCCACGTTAGTGTGGATCCGTACGACCGATTGGTTAGTTAATCACCAGTAGATTCCCTAAACTCCACTGAAAACATTTGCCAAACAAAGTAGTTGAATAAGGTAGTGATGAAGTTAAATCTAGGCGTGCACAGGTGAGTGACATGCAGGAAAGAGTTGAAATGTAAGCACGGTCTTAATACCGGTGTTGGATTTAGGAAATGTTGCCCCCTTCCCATCTTGTCTAATCCAATGCTTGTGCTGTGTCACTTTTGATATATATATATATATATTCTATGTATCCGTCGACCCTTACCATAATGTCCATTCTAATAGTGTATACACAACAATCATTCGTCTCACCACACGCGCGCCTTCCGTCCTTTTCCTACCACCATCCACTGAATGTGAGGCAGACAGCTTGGCTACAACAACTTAACCGGCACCATTCCTGAATCTCTCTTCAAGCTCACAAACCTCAACAACTTGTGAGTTCGTTACCCCTTGGTCTCACTTGAGAGGCAGGAGGAGCATTATTGAGGTGTATTTTGAGGCGTCTCAAACCAAACATAAACAACTTGTGAGTGCATTACCCTGTAGTTTCACTTGAGAGGCAGGAGGAACATTAATGATGTTACATTATTGTTCGCTCCTGGAGTTGATTGTTGAGATTCCTCAAAAGTTGATGTTGCCGGCTCAATGTCCATGCTTCCAGGATTTGCAAATGTGCTTTAGCAGCGCTCGGTCTTGAATGCCTCCTCTCCAAAGAAAGCACTTGGGAGGTCCTCTGCACTGCTATTGTGAACACCCTCTATCCACTCCTCTTACCCAGCCATCCTAAAACTATTGCCCCTACTACTAATGTCTGCCCATGCAAACCAAGTAGAAGAAGAGGCACAGAAAGAATGGGATTTATATGCAACGCACAGCTGGGATTGGATGGGACTGGCATCTAAAAATTATCTAGTGGGACTGGGATTCTGGGAACATGTTCTTTCTTTGAGACGTCTCAAAAGTTCCCAAACCCCTGGGACTTGGAACATGTTCTTTCTTTGAAATGTCTCAAAAGTTCCCAAACACCTGGGACTGGGAACATGTTCTAACTTCTTTCTTTGAGACATCTCAAAAGTTCCCAAACACCTGGGACTGGGAACATCATGTTCTTCCACGAGTTTCAGGCTCTTGCATGCAACGCCGTCTTGAGGCATCTCAGTCGGACTGCTGCTAAGGAAGCACCTTTGTTCTGGTCATTCTTCCGTTTTTTTACATCCCCGTTACAGATTGCTATGGAGAAACGAACTGACGGGCTCCATACCTGCAAAAATAGGCAACCTTCTATTCCTGAATGGCTTGTAAGTCTTCTAATTGGACGAACGGCGAGTGTCTTTTTTTTGTGAGCCTCATGATGACATCTGCATACATGACTGCTTTCTATTGTGTAATTATGATAATGTGCGATCAATCATTTCATAGCAATTGCTTGCTCTTCCCGGTAGTCAATCGCGTAAAAATCCATTTCAAGACATTGAAATGGTCACACAGACTATTTCTTTACTCTGTGCGTGCATGTGTGTATGCGTATATGTGATGAAGTGATTCTTTTCTAGCCTGTGTCTGTAATGATCCTGCTAGAACAATGTTCCAGTGATAGATTCGTCACAGCAACTTTCTCGTAAAAACTTGTCTCATTCAATTTCCAGAAATTCCCTGTTGCTGTACCCTCAGATCACCAGGTACCTTGCTCTTGACAGCCTGCCCCGTGCTTCCCCTGCCGCCACCCTCCGTCCCACCCACCCACCACACCTCCCTGCGGTGGATTATTCACAGCGCCTTTCTTGTAAGACTTTTCCTGCTGCTGTCCCCCTCACCTCACCAGGTACCTTGGTCCCAACAACCTCACTGGCAGCATCCCAGAATCCATTGGCAACCTCTTGCAGCTCACAATCTTGTAAGCAATCAGAGCTGTAAGGACAGCTTCTGAGGCGCCTCAAAGGCCAGCTTTCCCGGTGGCTTTTCATAAACTCTGCTTTGATGACTTTTGAGGCGCCTCAGAAGGCAACCTCTTGCAGCTCACGACCTTGTAAGCAACCAGAGCTGTAAACACAGCAAATGCGCCTTGCTTGCGCTCTTTGCCCTATGAGTGCCATATGAACTGAACCACCGCATGAAGAACTGTACCTGTTTTGTGACCATGTCATAAGTTTGATTGAGGCTATGGCATGATCTCTTGGGCTATTACTTAGGTTTTGAGGCTGTGCCATGAGGTATGAGGCTGTGACATGCATTATGCGGCCATGGCGTGTGCCATGCGGCAACTCGATTTTGAACTTTGAACCTCGATCTCAAATGACAACTTGAGCTACGGATTGACCTGGTTTGAAGGTTTAATCCCGTTTGACGCAAGAATGCCCGACAATGGTTTGAGACAAGCCTACGTATGCTACTATGCTCAACAAACATTGCTCCCTATCCAGGAATGTGCGAAAATCCAGTCTGAGCGGACCCCTCCCTGCGACACTGGGCAGGCTTGCCAAACTCAAAGAATTGTAAGACACTCAGTTGTAAGAATTGTAAGGCACTCAGTTGTTAGAATTGTAACACACTAGTGCTGCTCTTCCCCATGAGTGAGGATCCCTGGGACCTCACGTTCCCTCCGACACTGGGCAGGCTTGCCAAAATCAAAGAACTGTAAGGCACTCCGGAATCACCGACACACTCAGTTCTGCTTTCCCTCAGTTGCCGTAAACCAATCATGTGAAGCACATCTGCTGGAGCTTCTATTCTAAGGAGCACCACACATGATTTCTTGCCGATGTTTATTCTGAAGAACCCCCTCGTTCCCCCCAAACCTTTTTCCGTGTTCTGAAATGGTCCGCTTTTGAACCTCCTTTCCACACTTCCAGGAATCTGACTGAAACTCGTGTCACGTGCCCGCCTAACAAGACCCCATGTGTGGTTCAGCAGTCTTCTCAAACCGCTTTTTGCATCCAGTGCCCTTCCTTCTGCACTACTTGCATCAAGCCAGCACCACGTGAGCAATAACAAAACGGGAAAACACGCACGCACATGCACAGCACACACGCAGAGGCACACACACACACACAGAGGCACGCACACCCACAAGTATGCACACACGCACCCACCCACAACCCTTCCCACCACCGCCACCATACATCATCTTTGGCGTGCTTGCCAATTTACGCGCAACCTCACCATACATTTGTAAATATACACATACGCATGTACATTTGTCGTTGTAGTGCGTCTATATATGATAAATCATTACAGATCAGGGTAAAAAAAAAACGACATTTTTTTTAATTAATTACCGTAAAAAACGGTACTGTAAAAATTGACCGTTTAAAACAGTTCCAGGAGGTGTTTTCAGTTCGATTAACGAATTGGCCACTTTATGGAATTTCAGCAGGATGAAGGGGACGGGCCCCTTCTTGCATGTGTGCGCTTGTTGGCATGATTGACATTGTGTTTGACCTTGTTTTTCCGTTTTTTTTTCTGGTGACCAGAGTTCTCTAACAAAAAACGCCCGAATTCCACCGTAAAAAACGGACCGTATTTTGAACCTTGCAGATTATGACAGAATGCTTTTCCTCCTTACCTACACATATTCCCCCAACCCCGCCCCTCCCTTCCCCACGTCCAGCACCCCCCTCCCCACCTCCAGCACCCCCATCCCCACGTCGACCACCCCCTTCTCCAGCGTCTATCTCCCCACCTACAGTGCCCAACACAACGGGCCCATCCTCCTCCTCTTTCAGTCCCCCCCTCTCACCCGAAGCGCCTCCCTCGCAGTCGGGAGGCGGTCTCTCTGTGGGAGCCATTGCCGGCATTGCTGTGGCTGCTGTGATGCTGCTGATCATTGGCACGCTGCTGTGGTGGTGGAGAGGTCACAAGAAGCGAGCAGCACGTGCAGCAAGTAGGGCGTCCCGTCCATACACCCTAAACCCGAAACCCTGGATTTGAAGCCTTAGAAGTCAGGGGAGGGACCTGGGAGTCTGGAAACATGTCTTCTCTTCTTCATCCATTGTTCCTCCTCCTTAGGCCCTTCTCTCTCTCTCTCTCTCTTTCTCTCTCTCTCTCTCCCTCTCTCTTTTTCTCTCTCTCGCTTTCTCGCTTGGACTTGCCTGTTCTCAACCAGGCAATGGGCAAGGGTGGTTCGGGCTGATTTTTTCAAAACACCTCAAAAATCGGGCTCCCGTCACCCCTTTTTCTTCACCCCACACTGTCACAGGACGAGCTTGCAGCATGTCGGGAGCTCAATGCACCGAGTACTCTCTTGAAGAAGTGCTCACAGCCACCAACAACTGGTCCTCGGGCAACCAGCTTGGCTGGGTTGCCTTGCGCCCCTCACCACCACTCCTCACCCCTTCCATCCGCACCTTTACAGGCCGAGCTCGCAGCATGTCGGGAGCTCAATGCACCGAGTACTCTCTTGACGAAGTCCTCAAAGCCACCAACAACTGGTCCTCTGACAACCAGCTTGGCTCGGGTGCCTTTGGTGACGTGTACAAGGGCGTGTTTCCAGATGATGGCGTCACCCTGTGGGCTGTCAAGCGAGCCAAACTGATTGACGTGGAATTTCACAAAGAGGTGGGTCCGAATGAGTCTTCTTGTTCCTATTCTTGAGGTTCCCCAATAATACGTTCCGGAGCCTTTGGTGTGGTGTACAAGGGCGTGTCTCTGCACGATGATACCACCCTGTGGGCCGTCAAGAGGAGCTATATGATTGCCGTAAATGGGCCTTTTATTTTCCACTTTGAGTTTGGGGCGAACTGCTATTGATTTAGAAACTTCTCCTCTTTGGCTGTGCTTCTCGTTGCATTCTATTCTACCATGGCACTCCTTTCAAGGCGGCTTCTATGTCATTCCGCCTTGGCATGACGGTTCCAATCCAGCGTGCCATGCCATGTTTCTCGTTTGATTCATCCCATGCTGACTGCTGTCCAAATTTCCCTTTCTCCATTTAATTACTGCCTTTTTATTCTCGCAGGTCCAGCAAATGGCCGACAAGAACCATCCCAACATCGTGCGGCTGCTTGGGTTTGCTATTGGAGGGGACATGAGGACACGTCCAGAGCAGATCTTGATCTACGAGTTTGTTTCCAACGGTGACCTTGACCACTATATCAAGAAGGGTACGCACCACGTATTCATCTGCAACCATTCTAAATCTCATGATTACACTCTATTTTGAACACACCGATGGTGACCTTTTCTAGTACTAGCATAACAAGAAGGTTATGCGCATACTATGTCACGTATTGATCACCTCCCCGCGTCTCCCAGCGTTAGTCACTCATGTCTCTCACTCTCTTGTTCTCTCATGTTCCTTCCGCGATTCTCTCGTTCTCTGCATGTGTGCAGAGGCGTCCTTCACTCTCTCTTTCCAGGAGCGGCTGGACATCCTCATTTGCCTCCCTCATGTCCTGTCACTCTCTTCTTGTGTGCAGAGGCGTCCTTCACTCTCACCTTCCAGCAGCGGCTGGACATCCTCATTGGTGCGGCACGTGGCTTTGAGTACCTCCACAGCTTTGGCCTTGTGCATCGCGACATCAAACCCGCCAACATCCTGCTGGGGGATAAAATGCAGGCAAGCAAGAGCGTTGAGGCGAACATAGTGAAGTTGTCATGTGGAAGATGTCAATGAAACAGAAACAAACACAAATTATTTAAATGATGAATTCAAATTAAGAAATAAATACGGTATTACTATTTACACATGTTCTAAATACGCAGATTGATGCATGCGTTCCAACTACACTACGGGTGAACATTGACTTGATAAAAGTGTGGCAGCATTTCGCTAGTCCACCATAGGTGCTATGTTCGTATAATACTTCATCTGGATGAAGCTCGGGATACTGAAAGAGAAGAAAAAACCCTATATAAATGAGAGAAAGATGAAGGAACTAAGAATTGCACGTACAGCTCTGTATTTGTTTTCAGTGGTGATCAGCTCTACAAAATAAGTCATCACCATTGTTAAGTCCTTGATAATTTTTTCCTCAGTCATGCTTGTTTGTCCCTCTTTCGATAATTATACCTTCCGACAGGCCAAGATCGCTGACTTTGGACTGTTAAAGGCGGGAGAGGGAACCGCTGTCCGCACAACTCGGGTGATGGGGACACCGGGCTATGTGGATCCCATCTACTCACGCACGTCCAAGGCCACCACTGCAACTGATGTCTACAGGTGAGCTGCTTTTCAGGCGCCTCACAACGCAACCACTACAAGCCACCGATGCCTGCAACCACTGGAAAACTGTAGTGATTGATTTTTTTTTTAGGATTATGAATGCCTCCTTTGGGCTCTGAACTGATGATCTGGCAGTATTTAAGCGCCTCATAAGTGCCTGAAGGTGCTTTTGCATCTTAAAGCTCTCTCCCACCACTGTTCTCTTGTGTGATGCTCCAAATATCTCTCCCGAAACACCCACGTCTCTGCTGCTTTGATGTGCTCATGCTCGTGGCTGTCATCAGCTGTAGCCGCCCTTATCTGAGTTGCTTTCGATAATTCTCAAATCTGATGGGAAGTGCAGAGCACCACCCCTGATGCTGTCATTAGACATGAGCAACGGATCGAGTCGAGTAAAACTCCACTCGGTCTGGGCCAAAACTCGACCAGGTTCGAGCTCGAGTCGGGTGAAACCCAGTCAAGTTTTTTTGCCAAGGTTCAGGACTCGAAACTCGACTGTATAAGGGCGAGTTTTCTAAAACTCGACCGGCGCTATTCATACACTCGGTCGAGTCCTAGTTAAACTTGGCTCAGCGGGGGGGAGGGGGGCGGGACACACCATAGAAAAGTGAGACCTGAGGCTTATTTTCGTGCATGGTTTTTTTGTTGTATACCCTATAATATTGTACGCCTGCAACGCTGCGTAGCCATCTCCACCTGGTCTCCCCCCCCCCCCCCCCCCCCCCCCCTCCCCCCCCTCCCGCATGATCGCCACGGTGGGTTCCTCCCGCCCCCCTTTTCCCGCCGTTGGTGTTCTTTCTTGTCAGCTGCTTGAATATCGCCATGCTAAATCAGTAGATCGACTTACATGATTAAATAGTAGCGTTTCCTACTCCTCAAACCCTAATCGCAACCAACCATACAATAAAACCGCGACTCTAACTAAGCGCAAACCTAGATCTACGTTGCCCCTGAAGCGATCTTAAGTTTAAGAAGAAAAAACAGCTGGGCGTTTGGCTGCTTTGGCTCTGGAAACTACGGACGACATGTTGAGGAAGGTGACTGACTGAAATCGAGATCTGAAACTGGACCCGCAAAACTTCAACTTTCAAAATTTGTATGCCCACCCCACCCCAATGTCGCGACGAGTTTTTCGTAAACTCGCCGAGTCCAGAAAACTCGACGAGTCTGGAAAAAACTCGACATGGGGCCCGAGCTTGGACCGAGTTTCTAAAAAACTCGGCGGGTAAAACTCGACTCGGCCCGGTCGATTTTTTCAACGGGTCCTCGCACTCGACACTCGACCAGTAACGAGTCGCCCGATCGAGTCGAGCTTAAAAGCTCGACTCTTTGTCCATGTCTAGCTGTCATCCTTCCCTTCCTCTGTGCCATCCCTTCCTCCTCCTCTGTGTGTGCAGCTTCGGTGTTCTCATGCTTGTGGTGCTTACTGGCCGTAGCCCCCACACTGGTGATGGTGAAAGGAATGGGCACATTCTGCGATGGGTAGGTGCTGCTGCTTTTTGAGGTACAGCACACGAGGTACAGATCACGTCAGGTCAGGTATGCAGCAACAAAGTCACCTTTTCCTGCTGATGGTTGCATTCTTCGACACATGAGGTACGTGCTGCTGCCTTGTGTCCGCAAAAGAGGTGCTTTCAGGTAGATCTCCATCCGAATGCTACTTCTTTGTGTGCTTCTTTGTGTTCCATGACACACAAAGTAACTTTCAAGCCGGCTGCGTTACTAACTCACATAGCCAAAGTGGAAGAATCACCTGCGATGGGTAGTTGTTTCTGCGTTGTAACGCGCATGCGACAACAGCGTAGACATATGAAGCACTCAAAAAGAGTATATAACACGAGATGCACAGGATTTGCTGCTTCCAGGCAAGTACGCGAGATGTCACGATGGCATGATAGCAAGATGGTCCAACGGCATGATGGCGAGATGTTAGGCTGGCACGATGGCACGTGGGCACATTCGGCATGATGGCAGGGCGACAGGACAGGGCGATGGTACAGTTGTGCTGCTGTGCCTAACTATTAAGAATAACCCTCCTCAGCAGGCACAGCTGCTCAGGAATGTTCCCATCCCCACCCACTTTATTCAAACAATCAGGTGTAGGCATGCCTCATATACCTCGTGTCGTCCAGCAACCTCTTTTGCATGATGTCATGATGTAGCATAATGGCATAATGGCATGATGGCATGATGGCGTGGTGGCAAGACTTCTCAGAACTGTCCCCGTCCCACCATGATGGCATGATGTCTCCTTGATTAATCAGTTAGGTGTAGCCATGCCTCATTTACCCTCCCGTCATTCAATAACATCTTTTGCTGCTGATTATGCACGTGTGCTCTCTCTTATGTTCAATTAAATCCATCAGGCCGACGATTGCATTTCCTCCAAAAGAACTGACCCTCTCAAAGACCCGAGCATGGACGCCCCGGATGATGCTGTGCTGCGCCTGGCCCAGCTGGCTCTGCGCTGCACTGTGCAACGCACTGCAAGCCGGCCCAACATGGCAGACATTGCCAACGAGCTGCAGGGAATCAGGCACGAGGTGGTGGGGAAGGAGGAGCTCAGTGCAGCAGTTAAGGTGGATGAGCAAGCAGAGGGGATGCGAAGTGGGACATCATACCCCAATAACCTGGCTGCAATGTTGCAAGCTATTAAGGGCATGGAGGAAGACAAATAAACTCTATCCTCTGTAACCGGTTAACACCGACTTTAGCAGTTTCATTGTACATGTTTTGATCGGGGGGTCGGCTGACGGGAGAGAGTGGGGGTGGCTCTTAGGATTCAGCTGGGAACGGCGAGGGGGGATCACAAAGTAAAGGTGTCAACATACACATTTGTAGTTATATTTGTTAGGCTAGGTTAGGTTTGACTTTAGGGAGTGAATTTTTGTTAAGTACAGGTAGGCCAATTGTATCCTTCCATAGTAATTCTTTCGATTCCCAACATGGTATCACTCGTACGTTAGGTTGCCTTTGCTTCGCCTACCCTAGCCGCCCAAGCACGCCCTCCCGGTTGTCGCTAGACCGCCCCAAGCGCGCCCAGCATGGCTACCGTGCACCCTAACGCACCCTCCTAGCCCCCCAGCGCGCCCCCTAAGTGCAACCGCTCGCGCCCACTTAGCAGCCCCTCCGCGCCCCGCCCTAGGCCCTGTTGCCCCACGCGCGCCTGCAGTCGCACTAGCACCTGCGACTGGCCTGTCGTCACCACACTAGCCGCGCCCGCCGCGCCACTGGCACTGCAGCGCGCCCGCTGCTGCCGCGTGAACCGCCACCGCTGCTCGCACTCCTGCTGCTGCAGCACGCCCGCTGCTGCTACTCTCACTTTTGCCGCTGTGCACCCGTTGCAGGATCCCCGCCACTACAGCTGCTGCCACACGCTCTGCTACTGCTGTTGCCCTTGCCGCTACTAGCACGCGCACCACCGCATGCGCTGCCTCTGCTATTGCGACGGCCAGCGCACCCATCAACTGCCAACGCTAGCAGTTAGCCGCGCAATGTCAGCCTGCCGCCAGCCCTCGTTCCTTGCTCTTTAGAGCGGCTGTTCTCCTCAGCCTGTGGCCGTTCTACCTGCCACCTACTATGGCTGAGCACCTCCTTCCTACTATTATGGCGATTGAGTTGGTGCTGCGTTGCGACGCAGAGGGTTGCACGATGGACTTTCCGTCGTGGCTGCTCGATGTCCAGCTCGACCTATAGAGCCAGTTTCAGCAGGACATCCCCGATCGAAGACGTTTTGGGCCTCAGGCCATTCCCTCAGACTGGTCTAGTATGATGTGCTGTGGTTAGCAGGATATCAATATGGGCATGTCCAAGGTTTATGCTATGCTGTATGTTGTTGACTATAGTGTCACTGGACTAGACTAGGTGGCTAGACTAGGTTTCGTGGCTACCTCTGGTGTAGGATCTTCTATTGTTGCTTGCCCGGGTGTGTCCACCACCGACGTGTCACTCACCGACGTGTCACTCTCCTTCACACTTGACTCTCGAGCATCTCAGTGCTTCTTTTGCGACCACATCACCATCTTAATGCTTCCAGCCCCAGTCACAGTCCCTTTGGCCAACCCCTCCTGTGGACCGGTCCTCGCTCACGGCGCTACTACCCTTTTGTGTTCGCCAGCTCCTCTAGCTCCCTCTACTGCATGCGCATCCCCTTGTTCTCTAGGAACTTGGTGGTTGTCGGTTGTATTCTGGACCTCGGTGTCACCACCACATTTTCTGGACACCATCGGTTTGCAACCTGTACAGATGCTACCACAATGGTACCTCATTTCATGCTGCACACGTCGTCCCCTCATGTTGTTGCATCTGGTCAGATAGCCCCATCATGCTCTTGTCAGACGCTCACCCACCCGTCCCTCCTGTGGCACCACTGTCTAATTCAGCCCACACTTCTATGTCTCCATTACATGGCTTAGCATGGTCTTTTCCCAAGTCGCCTATTGCCGTTTTCTCCCCTCGATCCTTCGTCTGCGCCACCATGCACTGCTTCATTGAGGGCTCGCAAAGCGGAGCCCCGCACTCCTCCCCGCTGTCTTACACCACCATGCTTCTTTAGACCCTGCACATGGACGTTTGGGTACGCATCCCCATCTTTGGGCTGCGTGGGGAGCGCTACTTAGTGGTAGTTGTGGACGATTTTATCCTGGTACATCGTAGTGTTCCCCCTGGTGCGGAATGTCGAAGGGCCTGACGCTATCCTCCTATGGCTAGTGGTCGTCCGTGCCCTCCGCGCTTGGTGTGTGCTTCGTCTGCACTCCGACCGCGGTGGCGAGTTCACCTCTGGTCGGATTGTGCAAATCTGTCGTGTGCAGTTCATGCGTATATGCTCCCGGACTCTCCCCAGTATATGCGGCAACTGAGCGTCGCATTGGCTTGGTCATGGAGATCGCCCGTACCTCTGTAGTCCATGCAGGTGCCCCCATTTTCTGTGGCCATTTGCAAACCGCCACACCACGCACTAGCTTAGCCCGTGGCCTCGTGCCTCACAGCCGCAGGTTTCACCAACCCTCCTCTAGACTAGGTCCCCTATTGCTGCGCATGTGTTTCATGTCTGGGGCTGCATTTCACATGTCCGCAACACTCGTGCAAACAAGCTCTCAGCCCGCACTCTTCCTTGAGTCTTCCTTGGTTTCCCTCTTGATGCCTCCGACTGGTTGTTTTACCACGCAACATCTCACCGATTCTTTCACTTTCGTTGCCTCACTTTTGATGAGTCACCAAGTAACTCGTCTGGATGAAACGTAATAATTTCTAGACAGTTTCTACACTCACTTCCTTCATCGAGGAACCCCAGTTCCCCCCACTCCACTGTTTCTCACTCCCACTTCTCCCCTTGGTCATGCACCTCCGCTTGTTTCCCTGCCCCGTCTCCTGCTCCGTCTGGTGTGTCGCATGTCACTCCCATTCCCTTGGTTGGGTTCGTGGGGGAGGTTGTTGCCTTCCCTCGGGTCCCGGTGCATGGGGGTGCGCCTCCTGTGCCGCCACCTTCACCACATTCATTGCCGTCACCCACGTTGTCTTTGAAATCGGCCATGTTGTCCTCGCAGTCGCCCATGTTGTCCTCGTAGTCACTACAGCTGCCTTTGCAGTCGCCATAGCTGGTCGCTGTGAATGCTAGGGGTGATGGTTTTGGGGGTGCTGATCCATGGGGTCCTTTTGCAAGAGTTTCTGATTATGGAAGTGTTAACACTGGGAATGCTGGTTCTAACAGTGTTTCTAGAGATGGGTCGGGCCCTAAGGTTGCCGTGGGTCTGCTGAGCAGCAATAGCACATGCCACCGTCGCCACTAAAGCAGTAGTGGTCATCGCTGCCTGGCCTGCGCTTTGCCTTCTCGGTCTTCCTTACCCCTTGACTGACAGCCTCCTCCCTCCTCCCCTATTCCTCTCCCGCAACTGGCTGCAACTCGTTTTTCTCCTAGTTCAGAGATGTATCCTCCCGTATTTCGTGACCCGTATCTTGTCCCCTCCCTCTGGCCTCGCCGTGCCCCTTGTGCTCATCCCTCGTCTCTTGTTCCTGATTTTCACTCTATGAGCATTTAATAACTTCCCCCTCGAGTTCGGCCTTTTGTTCGGTCGTTACCTCCTCAATCGTCCCTTACTGACTCCCCTCCTCCATTCTTCCGCTCTATGCCACTCGTCCTAGGGTCTCCCATGTCCTTTCCTCTCTTTTTACTCACCCTATTGTTCCTCTGTTGTATGTCTCCGTTTTTTTTACTGTTGTCACCAAATTTGTCTCGACCCGCCTTCTTGAGTTCGCCACTCAGTTAGTCTGTGCTCATGTCCATCCTCCGTCCGTCGGGGGTGCTCCGCCCCTCGGCATTGTCGCTCCAGAGGACAAATAGTTTGGGCTAGCTTTCCTTGGATCCACTGCTCTTCACTTCTGTGCCATGTTGCTAGCCCATGTGGCCGACCTAGACGCTCATGACATCCTGACTTTGCGCACCTACGCTAAGGCAATTTTGGGACACTGGGCCTTTCAGTAGATAGCGGCCATAGACGCCCAATTGGCATCTTGGAGGTCCATATGCACCTACATTGATGTAGTTCCCCATCATGGGGTGAACATTGTCGTTGACTAAAAAAAAAAAAAAATATATATATATATATATATATATGCAAGATGAAGCAGCCACCTAGAGTGTCACCTGTCTTTAATGTGCGCTATGCCGCGAGAAGCTTCAGCAAGCGATAGGGGCTAGACTTCCTCCATACCGTCTCCCCTACCCTGAAAATGACCACTCTTCGAGTACTAGTGCACATCGCCGCACAGCACGACTACGAGCTCCACTCACTTCAATCACTGGACTTATCCAATGCCTTCCTCCAGGGTAGCCTGCACGAGCAGATCTAGCTCCACTGTCCCCCTAGCAGATTGGTGGCGCAGCTCACCAAGGTCAGCGCACATGTGTCTCTTCTGCAATACGGACTTCACGTCAGCCAAAGCAACCCTGTCAGCAGTGGCGAAAACCAGGTAGTTGGCGTAGACTAGTACAAAGAACGGTATAGAGCCATGACGAACGAACAGCGACGGGTCTGCAGAAGACGGCTGGAAACTGAGGTTAGACAGGGTAGAGCGAAGGGTGTCGTGCCACTCACGAGGAGCCTGACGGAGACCGTTGACCGGTCGCCTTAGCCTCCACTGGGTCCTAGGAGGGAAAGTGCATGTGAAGGCAGAGGGACGACGTAACTAGACCTCCTCGTATAGGCTACCCTGAAAGAAGGCAGTGGAGAAGTCGAGAGAGTGTAACTCGTAGCCTCTTTGTGCTGCTACGTGCAGTAACACCCGAAGAGTGGTCATCTTCGGGGTAGGCGCGAAGGTCTGAAAGAAGTCAACTCCCTCGCGCTGATTGAAACATCTAGCCACATAACGCGCCTTGAAGAATGGAGGAGATCCCTGTGGCCACTTCACCTTGAAGATCCATATGCCATCGACTACGTTTGCCCAAGGGGGGGGAACCTAGCCGACGCAGGTGCCTGTGGATCTGTAGGAGGCCATCTATGAGTCCATGGCAGCTCTCCATTGAGAGGCCCAAGGCCCTGACACTGCCTCAGCGTAAGTGCGAGGAGTCGGTATGTTAAGGGTGTCAGGGTCTCCTTCAGAAGCGAGCAGCACGGCGCAGAGATGACGGGAAGCGATTGCCAGAAACTCCACCTCAAACTGCCTGTCCTCTAGGGCGTCA